GCTGGAATCCCAGTCTCCCCAGGAATTCTGCCTGTATTAACTTTCCAACCTGGTAGTCATGTGAGTCTCATGAAAGCACCATGAAATGTAGGTTTGTGCTCCCAGAGCAGATCTCCTGAGCTAGGTATTCAGCAGTCCCAAGCCTTCCCCTCCCTCCTTGCTCTGGGTCCCACCAGTGAACTGGGGTGGGGGATGGGCTCGGGTCCTGCCGGGTCATGGCTCTGGTACTTACCCCATTCGGTGAGGTCTGCTCTTTTCTCTAGTTGTGTGCAGTCTGATGCCGTCCTCTTTCCTGTTGCTCTCTCAGAATTAGTTGCGCCAATTAAATTTTCTAATTGTATCCAGTTTTAGGAGGAAGCCTCTGTCTCTCCTCTCACGCCGCCATCTTTAACCCCTCACCTGGTTACTCTTATTTCAAACACATTCTAAACGTACATTTTTTCCTTCTTTTTCCTCCTCCACATTTTTAGTGTTAGATATCATAATCTGCACTTTCTGTGTATTCCTTGACTGATATTGTGTATAGTTGGTTTGGCTTCTTTTGTATTGTTTTAATTTCATACAGGTAATTAGTTGGTCTACTACCTTTACTCTGGGTTTATTTTAACTGGTGAAAGCTATTTAGCCTTATGGTCATTTCTGTCTACAGCAGTCCCTTTAGGATGTCCTGTAAAGCTGGCTCAGTGGTAGTGAATTCCTTCAACCTTTGTCTGGAAATTGTTTAATCCCTGCTTCAAATTTAAATGATAATCTTGCCAGGTAGAGGATTCTTGGTTGCAAGTCCTTCTGTTTCAATACATTAACTATATTATGCTACTCCCTTATGACCTGAAGAGTTTCTGTTGAGAAGTCTGCTGATAGCCTGATGGGACTTCCTTTATAAGTGATCTTTTTTCTCTCTGGCTGCTTTCAATACTCTCTCCTTGTCCTTGATCTTTGCCATTTTTGTTATTTTATGTCTTGGTTTTGTCTTGCTGGGGCTCCTTTTGTTAGGGCTCTCTGCACTTCCATGACCTGAGTGTCTGTTTCCTTCCCCAGATTGGGGAAGCTTTCAACAAATATTTCCTTAGAAGGACTTCCTATCCCTTTGTCTTTCTCTTCTCCTTGTGGTACACCTGTTATGTGAATATTGTTCCATTTGAATTGATCACATAACTCTCTTACCATTCTTTTATTCCTAGAGATCCTTTTTTCTCTCTGTTCCTCAGCTTGTTTTCCTGTTCTCTAATTTCTATTTCATTTACCGTCTCCTCCACATGATTTAATCTACTTCTAAATCCCTCTATTGTATGTTTTTTCATTACAGCTTCTGTGCTCTTCAGCTCTGAGTAGCTCTTTTTAAAGTTTTTTCTCTTTGTTGAAGTCCTCCCTGAGATTTTGAATACTTCTCTGTAAATCTGTGAACATGTTTATGACTTTTATTTTGAAATATAATCAAGAAGTTTGGTGATATCTATTTCATTTACCCCTGTTTCTGGGGTTCTGTCTTGTAGTTTTGTTGGGATCAAATTCCTCTTCTTACCCATTTTGCCAAGGAGTCTATGTTTCTAACTTTGTATTAAATGTCACTGCTATGCTTTCTGGTCTAAAGAGTAATAGCTTTATGATGAAGGTGTCTGTGGTGCCCAGAAGCTCAGGATTCTTTACTTCCTAATGCTTGGTTATATTTTGTGGGGGTCACAGCTCTTCGCATGCTGTGGCTTGTGCAACCTTTCTGTCTTGCTTCTGTAGTGGTCTAAGTCTAGGTGGGAAGTCTGCTTGATCTGTCTTTGTGATCAGCTCAGGAATCTCTGTTGAGCTAGCTGTGGGCAGGGCCTCCCTCTTCTTGGCCTGTAGCAATGGCAGGGCTAAAGGGAAAATGGAGTGGGCAGACCAGTATACTCCAGCCCAACATGCAGCACTGGGTTTGGAAACCCTCAGGGAGGGAGGTGTGCTTGGGGCTTGCTACTCCAGGCACCTCTCTAGTTGGGCCGAAATGGAGCCAAGCAAGGTCAAGCAGCAAGCTCTGATGCTGCCTCTGGGCCACATGTATTGTTTGTTGGCATCATGTACAGGGAGGAGCCTTGGGGCAGTATTGCCAGCAAGGAAGATGGAGCTTTTTGGGCTCCCGATCTGTTGGACCGAGGAAGGGCTGGAGGAGGTATTCTCTACCTGACCTTTCTCCTGAGGAGAGAGTTCTGTCCAACCCTCATCCTCTCTAGTACCCCTCCCACTGCTGGCAAGACTTTCGAACTGTTACCTCTGCTTTCAGTCTCAGGACTGATGGAGCGTGCCAGACCTCCACCCTGGCTGGAGTCTCAGCTTCCCAGAGTGTTCCACCTGCCCGTGGTGTCCAGCCCCGATAATCACCAGAGCCCATTGTAATGTAGGCTCTCTCTCTGGAGAAGATCTCCTGGGCCAGGTGTGCAGCACTCTTGGGCACCTTCCCCCTCCCTGCTCCATTCCTCTTCTGCATGTAGTCTCGGGTCCCACTTGATCTTGGCTTTGCCACCTCACCCTTTTCTGTGTGGTCCTTTCTTCTTCCTCAGGGGTAGGTGGTTTGTTCTGCAGACTTCATGTCATTTTCTGGCCTAGTTGTATTTGCTGTATTTTCCTCTTATGTGTTTTTGGGAGGAGGTTTCCATCTTGGCTTCCTAATCCACCATCTTTAATCTTCTCTCAGTCTTCTATGTCTCCTTATAAGGACATACTAATTCTGTGGGATTCAGGGCCCTACCATTATGGCTGCAGTTAACCTAACTACCCTTAGAGGTCACATCTTCAAATATAATCATATTAACTTTTAGGGCTTCAACATGACTTTGGCAGGAACACATTCAGTGCATAGCTGTGCTTCCCCCCCGCCCTTTTTGGCATTAATTTTGTTTGTTGCTTTCTTACAGAGTGTACAAATACCTGGCTATTAACATTTTCTCTGGGACACCTCTTTCTGGAAGGCAGTGGGGCTGATCTTTTCCACAGTACCCTTCAAGGATAGAACAGTTACTGTACTAGCTAAGTGGGGAACTTTGGGTCAGCCATGCCTAGAATTTAGATATTCAGGTGCTGGCTTCAAGACATTGTCTCAATCTGAATCTCTAAAATGCTTTGTTTTAGTAATGATGGGAATCTGTTTCTCTGAAGTCATTTCCCAAATTTTAATAAGTGGTACTGTAAAAGGAAGAAGAATTAATATTAGTTAGCCGAAGACAGTTTGCCAGTAAAATGAGAGGTCTTCCTAACAGTAAATATGTAAACTTCACCCAGGTGTTCACCAATCCAGTCATTCATACCACAAATAGTTACTTTCTACTTTTCTGCAACAATGCTTTTTAAAACATTACCTGTGTTAGATTTAGAACAGAGATGTATACAGGGTAGAGTGCTCCATATTTACTAGTTTAAGACCTGTACGAAGAAAAGAGATAGCTTCAGAGAAGGTAAGAAATGGAAAAGAAACTCAGATATAACCATCAACTTTCTCAAAGACAACTTTGGAGGTGGCTTAACTTGCTGTCCGCTCTCCTGTGCAGTCCCGTGGCTTTTCACTGAATTTCCTCCACGGTTCCTCCTCTGATCAGGAGATGTAGCAGCAGCTGGATGTGAGTGCACTCAGGATCCTGGCAAGAATCCACTCCTCCTGCTTTGCCATTTACTGTGCCTACTCTTCATATCCTGGGCATTAATCTGTGTAGATGTGCCTATGTATGGCATCATAGACTTCTGAGGCATGAACTCTAACCTCTATAGTTTTTTCTTGAAGGTCTTAAGCACTCACTATTGGATATGTCTCTTCTTGAGAAACTGTGACTCAGTTTATTAGAAAGCCATGAAATAGTGGAAATCAAACAAACATTTTTGAAAAGCAAGGGGCAATGCTGCAAAACATTTTCATTCTGTCTGACCCAATAACTCACTTGTGGAACTTTCATCCTGGGAGTACATTTCAATAGTAAGAAAACTTTATGTATAAAATGATCATGATAGCATTACTGATAGTGGTTAATCATATCTACCATATGTTATAACTATATAACCTGCAAAGGAATATGTAAAAGGAAAAATTAGTCATGTATTAGTACCATGGAATCATCTTTATGAGTTTTCTTTTATGACCCAACCCTTTCTAGATTTGAGATCTGCTAGGGAAATTCCTGCTCATTCTTGACACTGGTTTCATGTATCAGCCCTTTTGGTTGTGCTGTCCCCTGTTCTCACCCTTTTGCCATCTTTAGATACTTTGAAATTATGTCATGCAAGATCCTGTCAGGGGTTTCCCCTGCCATGCTTTAACTAGCCCTGTTCCCCAGCTTGGATTTACCCAGTAGACTGTGATAGTTTGTCAGAGGGATAGCTTGGAGAAAAGCCAACAGACTGAATGAGGACATACAGCTCTATCCACCTACAGATCAGCCCCAACAAAGTAGAGTATGATGTGACTAGGCCCCCAAATTGGAAGAATTGTGTTACCTCTTATCAAGACAGCTTAAGAACAGGGATGTAGACAGGGGCCTAGTACTTGGATTTAGAGCAAAAGATTAAATTTTAGTCATATCCGAAGATAATTCTAGTCAAAACAATTCTTGAGCACCTATTTTGTGCCGTCCACTATACTACTGGTACAAAGGGGATAGGTCAGCAAAAACTAAAAGCCAAACTGACCTGAAGATTAGTCATTTGAGCTATTGATCTAAGAGTCTTACAGTTCATTTTTCTTCTGAGGACCAGATTAGGAATTAGATGGCCCCAATTCTAGGAGTAGAGCCTGAGACAGTAAAATATCAGTGGATTTTGTATTACTCATTGCTTATTCTGATGCTGAGCCTGTTGATCTGTTAGCCCCTGGCTTTCAGTAAGCCTTTACCTTGGCCTCATTGTGTAACCTCATTTTTCTTATCTTTTTTGATGTGTCCCTTCCATGTGAGACCCTGAGGTCTACCACATCTTTTTTTTCTTGGGTAATTATTCTTTGTCTAGTATAGAGAACAGGTGACAAGTGGAGTCTCTGTTTCTTCTGTCAGATGGTGAACCTATGACTGAGGAGGTGTTGATTTTGAAGTATCATTCTTGAAAAAAATCAGAACCTCACATTAAGAGAACTCCACAAAGGTGTTGTCAAGGAAGTAAAAACTTAGAAAGCTGCCCTAAAGGGAAAGAGAAGACTCAGGAGGTCACTGGAATGCTCCAAGCAAGAGAAAATGAGGAGAAAGACAAGCAACTTCAAACAGAAGACAGTAAAAGACAATAAAACACTCACCGAAGTGAGTGACCAAGAATCTGAAAAGGGTGATACTCAGTGCTCCTACTCTGCAGCAAATGAGACAATTCAGGCTGAAAAGAGACAGTATGTGTGTACAGAGTGTGGGAAAGCCTTTAGTCAGAGTGCAAACCTTACAGTACATGAGCGAATCCATACAGGAGAGAAACCCTATAAGTGTAAGGAGTGTGGAAAAGCCTTCAGTCATAGCTCCAACCTTGTTGTTCATCAGAGAATCCACACTGGACTGAAGCCCTACATGTGCAGTGAATGTGGGAAATCTTTCAGTGGTAAGTCACACCTCATTCGCCACCAGGGTATCCACAGTGGGGAGAAAACCTATAAATGTAAGGAATGTGGGAAAGCCTTTAGTCGGAGTTCAGGTCTTATTTCACACCACAGAGTTCACACTGGGGAGAAGCCCTATACTTGTATTGAATGTGGGAAAGCCTTTAGCCGTAGTTCAAACCTTACACAACATCAGAAAATGCACAAAGGAAAAAAAGTTTTCAAATGTAAGGAATGTGGGAAAACATGTGTTTCTAATACAAAGATTATGGATCATCAGAGAATTCATACAGGGGAGAAGCCTTATGAATGTAGTGAGTGTGGAAAAGCTTTCATCTTAAGGAAGACCCTTAATGAACATCAGAGACTTCATCGTAGAGAGAAACCTTACAAATGTAATCAGTGTGGAAAAGCTTTTACTTCTAACCGAAACCTTATTGATCATCAGAGAGTTCACACTGGAGAGAAACCTTATAAGTGTAATGAATGTGGAAAAACCTTCAGGCAAACTTCTCAAGTTATTCTACATTTAAGAACCCACACGAAGGAGAAACCCTATAAGTGTAGTGAGTGTGGAAAAGGCTATCGTTATAGCTCACAGCTTATTCAACACCAGAGAAAACATAATGAGAAAGAAATCCCATAAATAACATACACTGTTGGTAGTAGGACTAATTGCTACTTTTTGGAAAAGCTGTTTATTTTTAGTAGCAGCAACTTATTCTATTTCTAAGAATCTGTACAGGGAAGTAATCAGAAGTAGTCAAAGATTAACAAAAGAGATACTAATGCCAGTATCATATATAACTGAAGGAAGAAAGCTAGATTTTCAACAGTACAAGGTTTAAATGAATGGTGATCTATCCATCTGATGGTTTTGCAGCCATTTTTAACATTTTTAAAGACTATATGCCATGGAGGAAATGATGTGGATACAATGGAAGATAAATGAAAGAAAAAACAATGATGTATGACCCAAACCTTTTAAGAAACATTTACGCACAGGAGAAAAATGGGAATGAAATAATACCAAACCAAAACGTTCACAGTATCTCTGGGTGATAGTATGATAGGTTATTTCTATTTTCTTCTTTATACTTTTCTATGCCTTTTAGATTTTCTACAGTGAGAATGTACTACTTTCATAATCAGGGGAAAATAATGGTATTTTTAAAGGCAATGAACACATGTTCATTTTCAGTATTATGAATGGTGCATAGAACATAGACTCTGAAGTCCTAGGATTGCACCCGAATATTGGTACTTAGTGGCAGTGGAACCATGAGCAAGTCAGTTCCTTTTAGACCCTGTTTCTTGTTTATTAAATTATAAACACCAGTCATTGGTCTTTTGCAGCTTTAAGGTACTGGTTTTACAGTTGTCAACATAATGTATAATTTACTTGTTTAATCACTTTCAGGGTAAAAGAACACAGCAAAAATTTACTACATCCTCACCTCCCACAGATTAGAAGGATCTTTGGGTGCTAAGAACTACCTAGGCTCCATCTTTTCCATATATGTCTACAAAACAAGAAAAAAATGTCCCCATATGAAATTGAAACAATTGCAGAGTCATGATCTTTAAAGAGAGACAGTCAGAATAATCTAAAACTAGGAGAAAACCCTCCTTCATATGTTATGTAGAGTTGAGTAGCCAGAGGTGCGGACTTTGGAGTCAGATACATGTGTTCCAATCCCAGATCTGCCATGCATTAGCTTGTCAATTTTGAACATCAGTTAAGTGCTCTGAGCCTCAGATTTAACTGTAAAAAGGGAATAACTACCTACCTCACAGGGTTGTTGTGAGAACTGAGATAATGGATGTAATGTGTGACAAGTCTGGCACATGGTATCATAATAGGTTAAATTTAGGCCATTGGAGCAGTCCTTCTAAATGATTCATGAGAATGATTCAAGAGAATTTTTATCTGAGGTAGCATATAGAATATTTTCAGGTGTAATGCACACAATACCAAGAACCAAATAGCTTAAACTTTAAAACATTGATTATTTACTTAAAGGGAAGTCTAGAAGTAAGCAGTCCCAAATTTGATTTGGCAACTCAGCAATTCACATTTCTTTCTTAGCTCCACAATTTTCAGCATATTAGTTTTCCTTTTTTTTTTTTTTTTTACAATCTCATGGTTGCAAGATAGTGGCTAAAGCAGCAAACTCTTTTCTTTAAATAACTCCTTCCAAGTCAGGAAGTGACAAAGGGAGCTGAGGCTTTCTCATCTTTCTCCTTTTTTCTTTTATCATTGAGAAAAACTTCCCAAAAGAAGGAAGGAGGCTGAGCAGTCAGTGCTTCAGGGACTTTCTAGCTTCTTCTGCCTTTCTTTATATCCAGCCTCTCTGAAGGCCTTAACCCACTTTCAACCAATATTTTAAACTTTGAAGTCAGCTCAAAATCCATCTGAGAACACCTCGAATCTCCTCGTTCTTAACATGACCATTCCTCTTTCTTTGTATACAGCAAATTCCTTAGCCTATGACATTTGTCAATGTACATAGTGACTTATTGTTTCAGGAATTAATTGAGGATGTGTTGTCCCATGCAGACCTCTTAACATTTGTCCAGGAAAATTGAGTTTCAGTGAGGTTAGATGACTGGCTAATAAGTACGTGGAGCTAGGATTTGAACTCAAATCTGACTTTCAAGTCAGTACTTTGTTCATTATAACAAAGTACCTCTGCCCATCATGGTGGTTTTGTATGTGAGTAGGAGACCAGTTGGATTCTTCTGGGTAGCTACTTCTAGGAGGGTGATTGAATCTAAAATTATTTCATCATGTCTTCGGAAGGAAGATGCTTATCAGCCTATCTCTGCATCTTGTAATCCAGGGTTTTTAAAAAACTTTTTAAATAAAGGTATCATTGATATACACTCTTATGAAGGTTTCACATGAAAAATATTGTGGTTACTACATTCACCCATATTATCAAGACCCCCCCATACCCTGTTGAAGTCACTGTCCATCAGTGTAGTAAGATGCCACAGAGTCACTGCTTGTCTTCTCTGTGCTATACACTTCTTCCCCATGACTGCATACACACCATGTGCACCAATCATAATACCCCTCAGTCCCCTTCTCTGTCAACCCGTTTACCTGTCTGTACTCTCCACCTGCCCTTGCCCACCCCTCCCCTTTGGTAACCACTAGTCCCTTCTTGGAGTCTGTGAGTCGGCTGCTGTTTTGTACCTTCAGTTTTGCTTTGTTGTTATACTCCACACATGAGGGAAATGATTTGATATTTATCTTTCTCTGCCTGACTTATTTCACTGAGCATAGAACCCTCCATCCATGTTGTTGCAAATGGTAGGACTTGTTTTCTTCTTACGGCTGAATAATATTCCACTGTGTATATGCTTCTATATTTTAGCTATTGTAAATAGTGTTGCAATAAACATAGGGGTACATATGTCTTTTTGAATCTGAGAAGTTGTTTTCTTTGGGTAAATTCCTAGGAGAGGAGTTCCTGGGTCAAATGGTATTTCTATTTTTAGTTTTTTGAGGAACCTCCATATTGCTTTCCACAGTGGTTGAACTAGCTTACATTCCCACCAGCAGTGTAGGAGGGTTCTGCCTTCTCCGCATCTTCACCGGCATTTGTTGTTCTTAGTCTTTTGGATGGTGGCCATCCTAACTGGTGTGAGGTGATATCTCATTGCAGTTTGAATTTGCATTTCCCTGATAATTAGCGATGTGGAACATCTTTTCGTGTGCCTGTTGGCCATCTGAATTTCTTCTTTGGAGAACTGTCTCTTCATATCCTCTATCCATTTTTTTTATAGGGTTATTTGCTTTCTGGGTGTTGAGGCATGTGAGTTCTTTATAAATTTTGGATATTTTTGCAATCCAGTTTTAAGGATTATATTTTTCTTCCTTGCTGTTACTGGGAAGAAAGAAGTGGAAGGTGTGAAGAGTATATTTGTATGAAAAAGGATTGTTTGATTTTGTCTTATTTTGATAGGATTGTGACTTACATATAATTTTGTGATGTAATGGTCCCTCTTTGCATAGTTATTTAGAGCAAGATTTGGAGGCTCGATACAGATTTGCTGCATTCAGGAGATAGGTCTATTACATAAGTAGTCACCCTTGGGGTAGACAACTTCCCCAAGAGTCCGGGTGTACATGACAGTAGGGTAACCCACATGTGACAGCGGCTAAACAGAACTGCAGTAGTAAGGACACGTCCATTTTTCCCTTGTTACATGTCCTTTTAAAGAAAGCGTCTGTAATTATTATTCCATGCCTTTTGTCATGCCAGCCTTCCTCACCTGCTGACTACCGATGTGGAAATTCCCCATGACTAATGTCTACTGACCCTGCCAAAACTGCTTTAAGAAAATAGGTAATTAGCTTTCTGTGTGCCTGTTGGGATATTTTTTGAGCATTGATTATTGCTGAGTAGAGTTGTTGATGCTTCCTCTTTTAGTAAATAGATATTATCTGACCAAACATTTTCCTATCATTGTGTCATAGTGTCTGAGATTCTTCAAATAGGGTTTTTCATCTCACAAAACTCTGTAATCTTCAAGCATAATTTAGGAAGGATACCATGTCATCTCAAACTGAGATGTGAATACAGATCTTCACACTTCCTGCCCTAGGGAAGTTAAGATAACAGAATCTTGAGGAAAAGGAGGCCCTCATCTATCTTCTCAGCTGATATGTGTCTTGAGCTGCAGGAGTAAATGTTGACATGTGGTCCCTGTACCCTTTCAGATAAGTGTTCTGAAAAATAATAATCTCACCTATCCTCCTCCAGTTGTTGTTCAAGACTACCAGCTGTTTACTTCAGTCAGTTTCATTATGCAGTTCAAGCCTTTTACCATACATTCTGCAATTCAGGGGCTGTCTCTTTGAATGTGTTTTTTTTTTTTTAACCTTCTTCTAATGGAAACCTGATTGTTCCTTAATAGCAGTGTTCCCTCTGCATTCCCTCAGTTGCTAGTTTTTGTCTCCTGCAACCCATTTACCTGTCTGTACTGCCATGTCTGTTCTGTACCAAAAACCCAGTTCTTTTGAAATGTACATTACTAGACCAATGTGTATTATCCATCCCTGTTCATGTCTACTGGCTTCCTGTGCACTCACATTTATTCATTTATTGCTTCTAGTACCCTGAATACTCATGAGGAATATGAAAAGGCAAATTTTTTTTAGACACAGACATCCTGGTTGTATAGGATTACTCTTGTGTGGAATAGAAAAATATATGTCTCTTTAGCTGAGAGAAAAAGTGTGAAATAAAATCTTATATAGCCTTGATTGAGGGGTGAAATAAAGACAAAGAATCCTACTTAGAGATGATTTTCACTGATGTTGTGTTAGGTCTGACTTGCAACTGAGAAGAAAATTGAAATAAAAAAGAACTTTAAAAAGCTGAGTAATTCCATTGAATCTGAATCCCATGACTAAATTTCATTTCAGTTCTATATTGGTGACAGATTTCCTCTTTTAATTTTTTCTATTCAATATAAATGAAATAGTATGCTCATACTAGTAGATTGTTTTTACAAACTAGACTGTCTTTGATACCTCTGATATTACAAAACGAGTCATAAAACTTTTTGCAGGAAATAGCTATAATTCCTTCAATAAATGTCTACTTGTTAAATAACTTGTCATTTACTTATTAAAGGCATCACTGAATTTTTTTTTCATTTCCTCTGTTCAGAGTGGGAAGAAAACAGTTCAGTCTTCTTTAAAGCAGCTGTTTTTGGAATGAAGAAGTGATTCTGGCTTGTTTCTAATTCAAACACAACATGAAGCTTGTTATTTTCATATAATACATAAAAGAGAACTCTCTAGTCATTAGAAAGTGTCCTCTTATTTCCTCAGAGGACTTACAGAGCCAGTTATTGTCCCACTCCTCTCTTGCCACATCTGAATTTCAAAACTCTACCATATGTAAACCATAGTTAGCTGTGTAAAAGCTAACTGTTCCCTGAAGTCTGCTGTTCCAGAAGGGGGGTTTGTGAGGGGTAAAAAAGGAGATGAGAGACACATTCCTGGGTAACAGATACAAGACCTGATTAGTTCCCACTCCTCAAAATGTATTTGACCATTTCAAATGAACATGGCACAGTTTGACTATATGGGTTGTAGATGTGCAAAAGCTGTGATGAGTCTCTGAAACTGAAGCCAGTGGACTCCAAATCTGGAAGTTACAGGGGTAATTTCATACATACAGATCAATTTCCAAGGCCCATCAAATCAGCATATCTGGAACAGGGCCTAGGAACCTATATAAAACAAAATTTTCACAGTGGGAATTGGAAGAAAATTTTCAATTAGGAGCCTAGACTCTTTACATGATTATTTTTAAGATTGTTCATTTTTCCCCAGAAGAACCTATAAATCACAAAATAATTCAGACATATGCCAGTTTGTATAATCATGACAAATTAGCACCCAGTCTGAAAGAAAATGAATCACATTAGCAGTGTTGGTTTAATCAAAGAATTGAGCAGAGATTCTTATTTTTAAAAGGCAGAACAGCATGGCAAGCTAGCTAATTGTAAAGCCCCTTGGCTACAGAACTTAGAAATGCTGGGAAAAACTTAAACGTCCTTTTAAAGGGCTTTCAAGAAAGTAAAGTAAATCTTCAGAGCCTAAAACAAAGAGGAAGCGGAAGCCAGAAAGGTTAAGCAGGTGATGATGCACTGGGTACTATGAGGCAGTTTAATGATCTTGGTAACCAAAGAACTTAACATTTTTATCAGCTGGAGGGCAAAATTTGAGTCTTTGGGCTTGCAAGAGAGAGAACTGAAACTAAAAGCTCCACAAGAAGCCAAGATGTTTATAGAACTACACACTCAGTGAAAGCATGCATTAGAAAAAAGTCATCAGGAGTAGAGGAAAACATAGGAAAGTTTGTGGAACTTGTCCTGGGCTTTAAGTGGAAAATAGAAGTCTCCCTGCTAATTTATAACCATTAGTCAATCTTTATGGTAATTTAAGGTTCAAATTTGGGAGACACCATGCCAAGAAAGTAATATAAAATAAGGTATGGGGGGGATCACAGGAAGATGGTGTCATGAGTAGTTCAGAGGAAATCTCCTCCCCAAAACATATATATTTATGAAAATACAATAAATACAGCTATTCCTAAAAGAGACACCAATGGATGCAGTACAACAGCCAGGATAGTTCTACATCTGTGAGAACAACATCTCACGAAGGGGGTAAGATACAAGCCGTGGCCAGGCGGGACCCAAACACTCCCCCACCCAGAACCTGGCAGGAAGGAGTCGGAACGGGGAGTGAAAGCCCAGGACTGCTAAACAACCAGCTCTAGAAATCTGCACCCAGAGCACAGACACAAGGTGCATGGGGGGCTGGATATTAGAGAAATGGAAAAGCAAAACCTGTGGGCAGGTCCCCGCAACTGGTGCCCCTGAGACAAAAGAAAAGCTAGTGCTTTCTGCAAGTCTGAAAGAGACAGGGATCCCATAGCTGGATCGTCCTGGCACACTTAGCCAGGAGCTGGGAATCCAGGGGAACCTTAGGAGCCCTAAACCCCAGGGAACCAGTGCAGCTCTGAAGCCCCTCATGGCACTAAGCAGCCTGCCAGTCGTTAATCCAACCGGCGCAGACCCCGACACACCAGCCCAGTAGCAGGAGAGTGGCAGCACGTGCTGGGGGTGGTGGTGCTGGAAGGGACCAGGAGCAGATCTGTGCACCAATGGCGCCAGATGGGACCAGGAGAGGCTTGTGTGAGCCTGCAGCAGCAATGACCGAACAGCCCGGGTGCGGCTTGTGTGCACCGGCAGCAGAGGAGCCAGAGGAGCCTGGTAGAGGCCCGC